ATATGAAGTATTTTTAAGAGTTTCCCAATTTGAGAGAAAAAATATGAATTATAACTTTTAAAAGCCTACTGGCCATATAAGTTTATTTTGGTATCTCTAGTTATTTAACAAGTCTCCATTTATGACAATTACTAAAGACTTCTAGATAAACATCTATATACTTTTAGATGTATCATCATAAAATTTCCTGGAAATAAACTCAGTAATGAAGTTATAGATTCAATGTAGAATGATTATTTAAAAATATCTCTTGTAGTAAAAATACTACATGTCCATATTATCACTGTGTGGTAACATGTTCCCAAATTAATCAAATGTGTCAACAAATACTTGGAGAGGTTCATCAGAACTCTCGGCCTTCACTTGAGTTGAAATGCATCAGGGACTTTTTTTTTTTTTCTTTTGCACCACATCAAATGTACTTCACACATCAATTAAGAACAACCACTCTTTCTAAAATAGTCATCCTGATAGTCAAAGTGGTCCTTCTCTTTTGCCAAGCACTGTTTTTCAGTTGCCAGTGTGTTGTTGCTTGGATATAGATCCTTATATTCCAAAATAGTGTAGCCTGTCTCACTACCACGTTCCATGTGATGAAAAGCAAAACACATCTGACCTTCAAAGGCAGCTGAATTTCAGGCTAAACAAGAACAAATGGCCCCTCATTTGTTCATGGTTTGTAAGTACTCATAGTTATTAATACTCCACCCCCAGCTCACATATCCCCACCAAGCAATGTAAAACTCACGAGTCTCGGTTGGTTGCACCTCTCAGGAGACTTATTTAAAAACACTCCAGACATTTTCCTCGGCACTAATTTTAGAGTAGATGGTCTAATGGTATTTTAGTATTTCTATATATCCCCCGCTCAAGCTATGAGAAAGAAATGTCTGTTATTTCTTGCAGGTCAGCAAGACTGATAGGGTTATCATGGCCTCAGTGCTCCTCTGAGAAATACTACTCTTAAGAATGAATTTTAACTTACAAAATGTTCATAATAAGAGAATTATGGAAAATAGACTAAACTCATGTTCTTCCAAATCTCTCACTTTTCAAGTGGGGAAACTGAGTCTTGGCCTGAACAAACTGTTGGCTCAAGGTTAGATAGTAGCAGAGTATTCATGGGAGGGTCTAGCGTGGGGGTGCCTAGGGAAATGAGCATGGCACAGGGTAAAAGTCCATGACAGTTAGTCAGTTTCTAAGAGTCTTAACTTCAGGATGTAAAAAAAGACATGGATGGTGAGGAATAAGTAGCCTCAGAACTAAAGAAAGTTTCCAGAACCACTAGGGAGACTTGTCCACTCTTAACTCTAAAATATCTAATTGTGGAGGTTTGAATGAGAATGGCTGACATACGCTCATGTGTTTAAATATAGCCCCCAGTTGGTGGAACTGTTTGGGAAGGATTAGGGGGTGTGGTCTTGTTGGAGAAGGTGTGTTAATAGGGGCAGGCTTTGAGGTTTCAGAAGCCCAACCTTTCCCAGTTAGCTCTCTCTGCCTCCTGCTTGTGGATCAATTTGTGAGCGCTCAGCTGTTCCAGATACCATGCACGGACTTTAACCCTCTGAAATTACAAGCCCTAAATTAATTTTTTCTTGTATATGTTGCTTTGGCCATGTGTTTTTTCACAGCAATAGAAACATCGACTAAGATACTACTATATTCCTGAATGGCTATCAGGGCCAATTCATGCTTTATGTATGTTCTCAACTTGTTCAAATGCAAAACTTCTCTTCCTGTACCTCAAGTATCAAATTTAGTTACATATTAATTTAAACACAGTTTTTCATTATCTTTTTATTTTTTTGTTATTTTTTTTATCAATTTATCCTTTTATATACTATACCCAGATCACAGTTTACCCTTATTTCTATTCTCTGAGACTTCCCCTTGTCCCCTCCCCATCCATTCCTTCTCTGTTTTACTTTAGCAAAGAGTAGGCTTCCCAGGGATATCAACCAAACATGGCATATCAAATTTCAATAGGAATAGATACCTCCCCTCATATTAAGGCTGGATAAGGCAACTCAGTAGGGGGACAAGGGTCCCAAAAGCAGACAAAGCAATCAGAAACATCTCCCTCTCCATCTACCTAAGTTAGAGTTCCAAAAAAACCACACAAGCTATACAATTATAACATATATGCACACGACCTAGGTTTGACCAATGCAGGCTCCCTCAATGTCGATTCAACCTCTGTGAGCCCCTATGAGCCCAGGTTTGTTGATTTTAAATAGATTAATTTAAAAGATAATTTTAGTACAACTTTTTGTTTGTTTTTTGTTTTGTTTTTTTTTTTTTTTTTTTTTGAAGCAGAATTTCTCTATATAGGCCCTGGCTGTCCTGGAACTCTCTGTGTAGACCAGGCTGGCCTTGAACTCCCAGATATTTGCTGCCTCTGCCCCCTGAGGGCTGGGATTAAAGGTATGTTGCCACCACTGCCAAGTTTTAGTTTGACTTTTAAAGATAAAAAAAGAATTATTTTTATTAGAATGTCATTGTTGAGGGAACCATAAGTGGTACAGGCATGTAATACCAGTTGCTTGGCATGTTGATCACAAGTTCAAGGTCTGTTAGTTCAAGGCCAGTATAGGCAACTTATTGAGATCTTGTCTCAAAATAATGACAGGGAATGGGAAATCTAGGATCAGCAGTATAGACAGTGCCCTGAGTATAACACCATCAGTACCACAATGTAAGTGTTGAGACCTTCTTATATATACATGGTTCTCTCCTTGAAGCCTCTTAAGCATCATGCCAGATCCAGTCTAACCCGCTAGATGGCAGGTCACATCATGTTTCTGTAACGGTGAAACAAAAGGTGTATGGTATACAAGCTTGTTTGATCAAGGGCTTTGTAAAGTCCATTTATTATACACGATTAGACATTGTTAGAAAATATGCAGATGAAGGCCTGGAAGCTCATGCACCTGCTTTCTCTTCTTCCTTTGTTGTTGTGAAGCTGGTAGTAAGAAGTGTGTGACTTTTGAATCTTCCCCAGAATCTTTTTTTTTTTTTTGAGACAAGGTGTCTATGTGTAGCCCTGGCTGTCCTGGAACTCACTCTGTAGACCAGGCTGGCCTTGAACTCAGAAATCCACCTGCCTCTGCCTCCCAAGTGCTGGGATTAAAGGCATGTACCACCACTGCCTGGCCTGTCCCAGAATCTTAATGGGCCTGTGCCCCAGAAAAGGTTTATGATAGATCCAATATTGTATAATTCTGTAATAGCAACATTTGAAATAGTTGTTTTGAAGGGACTCAAGCAAAGTTTCTACTTCACAAAACTTCTCTTGTTTTCTGCAAGCCCTTTGAAGTGCCTTTGGTGGAGACTGACAGGGATATAAGATACAACCTATAGCTGTGAGGCAGAGAAAGCCACGTGGCTTTGAGAGGAGACCAGCCCACGGCCTTGACATGAGTTGAAATCCCCAGAGCAAACCTGGGATCTGGGAGTGTTTGGTTACATACAAAGAGGATGAGGATGAGTGCCAGGGCCATCATTGCTTTTACAATTAACACATGGTGACCTGTGGGGCAGTGGGCTGTGAGAGGCAGCTGGGTATCTGGTCGAGCAAAGGCCTCAAACCCCGGATAATACCCTAATGGGGTATTACTCCTGGGCCCTGGTTCCTTTCACTTATTCACGCCCTGGTTCCTTTCACTTATTCACAGCCCCTCTCAAAGAAAGGTTTGTGGCCTTAGGTCACATAGCGTAGGTAGAGGGTGTGACTACAGGCTGCAGAGCCTCAAGAGATCTCCATATTAATGAGATACCAAAAGGCCAGAGAGTGTAGCCAATTACATTCTTTCCCAGACCCTCCTCCTTGCAAAAGACATTTAACCTCAGGCCCACCCTGAAGACAGCAGGTATGGGGTTCAGCTTCATCTACTTTCTGCCAGGACAATAAACCTTTTAAAACCATGGACTTCCTCTTGTCTTTGGGGCCCCACCATAGAGAACCGTAGAGGAGGCCTTCAACCAATGAGCCACCACCTGATCTCCTGCCAGAGGACCTCTCTGCATTCCAGCCATGGAGCCCTGCTAACCCAAGCAAGCTAGCCAAGCCAGCTGTGACCCAGCCAAGCGAGTCACCTAAACCAAGAGTCACACTATCCCGTGGGGTGTTGCCACCGGAGCTTCTCCCTCTTGCCCCACTTTGCTGCTGGCTGGTCCAGCCTATATACCCACAGTCTCAACAATTCTGCAGTTCCCAGTGGTGCCTGGGAGCTCAGGAGTCTGAGACCGGTTGATCCCCACATACCTTCTTGCCTGGGGGTCCCCACCCAAGAGCTCTGCCTCCTGCAGGCTCTCAGACTGAGATCTTCCCACACCTGCAGTGGAGTGAACTCAGTCAAATTCCCAAGCTTCTACCCTCTGAGCCATGGATCCAGACTCCTGGGGGACAGACACACGGGATCCACAACTCAGCCCAACAGGACCCACAGTGACTCATATTTTTTTTTTTACTCTGTAGAATACAAAACAGAAGGCTGATAAGATTTCCTCTTTGTTTTTTTAAGAACACAAGATTTTCTGAGTTGCCATTTGTCTGTATGAGGCTTTTCATGAAGGCCATGGAGAATTAAGAATGGCTTTCTCTATTTGCCTCTGAGAGATAGTTGGATTTCTCAAAGGAAAGATAAAAAGTTAGAGCATCATACCTTTTGACCTATTTTTGTTCTTTCTAATTGATGGCCTCCATTTTTTTCTTTCTTTCTATTGGTCAACCAGTATATTTTAATACAGGAAGCTTAAGAACAATCATTTGGGATAGATTGTTCTACAAGCAATGACTACATGATCTGTTATGAAACTAGTGTATTGTCAGACTATTGGGTAGCTCAAACTGTCGAAGTTTAAATTGCTGACAGTACATAGGAAATGCAAGTTAATAATCTATGTTAACTTGTTGGTGGCTACCTTTAATATTATTATTGCCTTGAGAACCGTTCTATAATGACACTAATCCTCACTCCTGCCTTTTTGTTTGTATTTAGGCGTGGCCTTCTACCCTGTAGATCTTTCTGTGAGGCTGCAAAAGAAGGATGTGAATCTGTCCTGGGAATGGTAAACTCCTCCTGGCCAGATTCCCTCAGATGCTCTCAGTTTAGAGACCACACTGAGAACAACAGCAATGTCAGCAAGGTCTGCTTCTCACTGCAGCAGGAACATGGAAAGCAATGTAAGTGTCTGTGTTTCATTTTAAAGTTTGTATTCTGATATACCACCCACTATGGGATATCTACAGAAATAGGTATGTAGTCTAACACGCTTTAAAAAGCAAGGAAACTCTAGATTTAGAAGAAGGATATTGACAATATAGAAATGTCTGCAGTAATCTGCCTAATCACCTCACCTTTGCAAAGACTTCTGTCAGCTTAGGTAGCTTTTCTTGTTACTGAACTTCGTGTAAATATAATTAAATAATGCGTGACATTTTTGTATCTTCTTGCATTTGCTTTTAACACTATGCTTGGGCAATTCATTGCATCCATTGCAGGTTCCATTTCTTCACACTGAATTAAGTAAGTTCTCTGATACCCAGTTATATAATAATATATCTAATGTCTATGGGTAGACATTGAATTATGTGTAGTTTCCGTTATTATGAAGAACAAGGCTGTTACTATATTTGTCCGTGTCTTTGGTTGAACATAGTCATCGACTCGTTTTGCAAAATAGTTCTCTAGATTAGTTGTATGGACTTATACACCCAGTATCTATGTGTGAAAGATCATTTTCTTCCCCTACCCTCCTGATGTTGGCATTTTCAGCCTTAATTACTTTTTACAATTCTGGTGAGAGAATTACGGCATCTCCCTGTAATATTAAGTTGTCTTTCCCTGAGGAATTTGATAATATTTCATTTTAAAAAAATGTGTAACCATTTCATTGTCATTTCTGTTGTACAGGTGTTTGTCCATTTCCCAGTGGTCTCATTAGTTTACAGTTTGATGTGTAGCATGGATATGCCTCATTATTGTTTTGCTCTGAAATGTTGTTCCAAGTCTTGTTTTCTAAAGGATTATCTACTGGTCTGTAGCAACTGTTGAGAGTCTCTGAAACCTGGATGAGGTGGAGCACAGCAGAATGAAATTAGGTCACTGGGGTCTAGCCTCCTAAGTGGGTATTGGGACACCGGCCCCTTCTTTCTATTTCTCTGTTTCCTAAGCCACCGTGAAGTGAGCAGCCTCATCTACCATGTGTCTTGGCCATGATGGTTTACCTCCAAATAGCCCCAAAGTGATGTGGGTAATCACGGACCAAAATCTCTGACACTGATGAGGTTTGATGAGGCAAACCAAATCTCTCCTCTCTTTAAACTGTTTACCTCAGGCGTTTGGAGATTTTATGATGATGCAAAGCTGACCTGTGCATATGTGATTTATTGTGTAGGTGTAGCGCAAAAGTCTCTGAATCTCTCCATTCCCAATATGTATGCTTCTTTTCTCTGAATATGGGAGCGTTTTCTCTCTCTTACTTTATTATTTTTATTAATTATTTGAATTTTTCATATGATATAATTTGATTATATTTACTCTCCCTCTTCCAACTCTTTTCAGATCCACTTGTCTCCCTGTCCACCCAACTTTGTGTCTTAATTTTAAAGTGATCGACTGGGTTTGATTTCTGCTGCCCATATACTCTCGGGTGTATGTCCATCCACTGGAATGTAGTCAACCTAAAAGGTGCTAGACTCTTGAAGAAAATGGATTCTCCCTCTCCCAGTAGCTCTGAATTACCAATAGCTCCTCAGGTAGGGGTGGACTTCATGCCTAGCCCCCTACTCCATGCTGGGATTTAGTCTGGCTTACTCCTGCATGGGTCTTGTGCATGCTATCAGGATCACTGTGAGTTTATAAGTGCAACTTCCCTGCCATGTCCAGAAATGTGGTTTCCTTGTAGTCATCACTGTCTTGGCTCTTGCTGTCTTTCTAGTCCCCATTCCATAATCTTTGGAGGCGGGTATGACATAGATGTTCCATTTAAGGTTGAAAGCTCAGCAGTCTCTGTTTTGTCTGCACCTTGTCCAGTTGTGAGTCTCTGTGTTCATCTCCATCAACTCCAAAAAGAAGCTTCTCTGATGAGGGTTGGAAGATGCACTCATCTATGATAACAATAAGTTATAAGCAGTCATTTTAATACTGTACATTTAGAGAATAATAGTAGTTGGGTCTCCCCAGAGCCTGTCTCTGGCATAGTACCAGGTATGAGTTTCGTACAGTGGATCAGGCTTTAACTCCATCATAAAGTTGTTGGTTACTCCCATGACATTCCTGCCACTATTGCTCTGGTGGGCATGTCTTTCCAGGCCAGTCATTATTAGCTCACACGGTTCACAGTGAGGTAATACTGATAGTTACTTTTCTCCTCTGGTAGTACACAAAGCACCCTTCATCACTCTTACTGGTAAGCATTAGGGAATGATGATTTCAGATGAGTACCAGCTTGGTTTTTGCATGTTCTATAACTCGAGTATGTGCTTCATCAATAGGGACTTACTGTTTATGGAAGGATCCAGTGGACACTCTTAGTCAGATTTGGGAACTTATAATTGCAGGGTTTTTTTTCTGTCTCAGAATATAAAAATCATTTAATCAAAATTGCACCAATATTTTATAATAAAACAGTCACACTAATCTGTTACAAAGACTACTCATACCTTCTCACCCTTCCCCTAAACCTTATTAAAATAAAAATGTTAGCTACCATAAAGGCAAGTTTTTCTCAAAGTAATTTTTTTCACTATTAAGATCCAATGAATTTGTTCAAAATTAAAGTTTTGATGTTTTACAAAATACATACTACAAAGGGTATTCCATGTGATATCATACTTGAAATACATTTTTTTGTTTTCTTTTGGAATAGAGGATGTATTTTTATCACCCTCTATTTTAATTTTTTATTCATTTATTTATTTATTTTTATTGGATATTTTATTTACATTTCATATGTTATCCCCTTTCCCCATTTCCCCCCCCCACCCAGAAACCCCCATCCCATCCCCCTCCTCCTGCTTCTATGAGAATGTGCCCCCACCCACCCATCTACTTCCACCTCCCCACCCTTGAATTCCCCCACACTGGGGCATCCAGTCTTCACTGGACCAAGGACCTCCTCTCCCACCTATGCCTGACAAGGCCATCCTCCCCTACATATACAGCTGGAGCCATGGGTCACTCCCTTATGTGCACCCATGCTGGTGGTTTAGACCCTGGGAGCTCTGGTTGGTTGGTATTGTTGCTCTCTCCATGGGGCCACAAACCCTTTCAGCTCCTTCAGTCTTTTCTCTAGCTCCTCCATTAGGAACCCCATGATCAGTTCAATGGGTAGCTGTGAGCATCTGCCTCTGTATATGTCAGGCTCTAGCAGACCTCTAAGGAGACAGCTATATCAGGCTCCTGTCAGCATGCACTTCCTGGCATCCACATCAGCATCTACCTTTGGTTACAGCACATGGTATGGATACTCAGGTGGGACAGTCCCCAGATGGCTTCTCCTTCAGTTTCTGTTCCACACTTTGTCTCCATATGTGCTCCCATGAGTATTTTGTTACTCCTTCTAAGAAGGACTGAAGCACCCACACTTTGGTCTTCCTTCTTCATGAGCTTCATGTGGTCTGTGAGTTGTATCTTGGATATTGTGAGCCTTTGGGCTAATATCCAATTATCACTGAGTGCATACTATGTGTGTTCTTTTGTGATTGGGTTACCTCAGGATGATATTTTCTAGTTCCATCCATTTGCCTAAGAATTTTATGAATTCATTGTTTTTAATAGCCAAGTAATACTCATTGTATAAATGTACCACATTTTCTGTATCCATTCCTCTGTTGAAGAACATCTGGGTTCTTTCCAGCTTCTATTTGCAGTTTTATTTTGGGGAAAGAGAGGCTTTATTTGGCTTACACTTTCAAATCATAGTTTGTGATGGCTATTTTCAATTGTCAACTTAGCTATATCTGGATTGAACTCCAATCCAGAAATGGAGTACACACCTCTGATTCAGATTTGAGGCAGAAAGACAACATGCCTTTAAACGAGATCTTGAGGGTGGAAGGCACAGGATTTGATCTGGATTCTAAGGCAGGATAACATATGCCTTTAATCCAGATCTTGTGGCATACCTTTAACATGGGTTATACCATTTGCTAAAAGCCTATATAAGGACAATGGAGGTAGGAAGTGTGTGTGTGTTTGTTCGTTTTGTCTGCTTGCCTGCACTTTGCCAACACATTTATTGAAGCCTACTTCCTTGGGATTCCAGCTTATATAGAAGACCAGCTGCGACACCTAGCCTTGTGGAACTGAGTAACTACTTGATTCTTGAATTCATAGCTAGCCGTTGAATTAATTCCCTTTACATGCATGCATACATACATACATACACACATACATGTATGATACCCTAATTACTATGGCTGAGGCATACCACAACTAAAAACATTTTTTCCAGTAAATAGCACATTCTCAGTGTTCACTGTGTGATCAAATATCCTGTAACATTTGTGTGTGTATGTGTGTATGTATGCATGTATGTATGTATGTATGTATGTATGTATGTATGGGGGGGTGGGATGGAGGAGAGGTCATTCCATAAGTTTTATGACTCTAGAGTATGCTAACACACAGTCCATCATTTAGAGAAGCCAAACGTGAAAGCAGGAACTGAAATAAAGGTCATGGAGCATGCTGTTTATTACTTTGCTCTCTCAGGCTTGCCCAGTTACCTTTTCTATATAGTGTTGTCCACAGTGGGCTGGTCCCTTCTACATCAACTTGAAATTAAGAAAGTGCATCACAGACAAGGCTGCAGACCAGTATTATCTAGACAGTTCCTTTTCTTTTTCCCAGGTAGCTCTAGGTAGAGTCATTAGTTTTATTCTAAAAAGTTTTAAAATCAAACTATCATTACATTCTTTTCCCCTTTCTTTTTCTTCTTTCCAGCTTCTCCCATGTACCATCATTGTGCTTTCTCAGGTCATGGTGTGTGTGTGTGTGTGTGTGTGTGTGTGTGTGTATAAAGCTCAACTATAAATGTGTGTGTTGTATGTTACTAAATATATAAAAACAATATGATTGTTCTATATAATACAAATTTTTATTATAAACAATTTTGTGATTTACAAAATCCTTTATTTCTGTTAAGGTGATCCATTATTTCCTTTCTATTAGGCTAAAT